GCTGCCAGACACCCAGCCAGCTACACTCTCACTTCTCCTCCTTTACAGAACAGAGGGAGAAAATGAGATGGAAAACGAGCATGGAAAATGAGTGAACCAAAGACAGGAAGATCACTCAGCAGTTACCATCATAGGTTAAACAGACTCAATTTGAGGAAAATTAACTTATTGCCAATTAGTGAGAAATAAAGAATAAAACTAAAAGGCCTTCCTTCTACCCAGCCCTATTCTTCCCTCTCAAGTGGCAAGTGGGGATGGGGAATGGGGGCTTATGGCCAGTACAGTACAGGTTCTGCAGGAGCTGCACCTCTCTAGCATGGGCTCTCTATGGCCCCAGTTCCTTCAGGGAATTCCAGCGTGGACTCCTCAAAGACCTGCTGTGGAAATACCTGTTCCAACATGGTACTCCGCAGAGCAGGTGTTTTTCTGCAGCCTGTGGAGGGGTCTCTTCGAAAACTTCCACAGGCTGCAGGGGAATACCTGCTCCACCACCTGGAGCATCTTCTTCCCCTCCCTCTTCACTGACCTAGATGTTCACAGTGTTGTCTTTTGTTCTTTCTGCTCACTCCTCCCGGTATTTGTGCAGTGTTTGACCCTTTCTCAAACACGAGTTAGAGGCGGCACCACCACCTGGGCTGAGGGGCTGGGCCTGCCCTGCGGTGCGGCTGTAGCAGAGCCCTCTGGAAACAGCTGTGTTGGGCACGAGGCAGCCCTGGGCTCCCCTCACAACAGCCGCCTGCCCTGCAAGCCCCCATCCATCCTGCAGCTCCTGCCCTGCAGCCCCCCATCCAGCGTACCCCCATCCTGCAGCTCCTGCCCTGCAGCCCCCCATCCAGCGTACCCCCATCCTGCAGCTCCTGCCCTGCAGCCCCCCATCCAGCGTACCCCCATCCTGCAGCTCCTGCCCTGCAGTCCCCCATCCCACAGCCCCCAGTGCCAGGCCTGGGCACCAGCACAGCACCAGGGTAACCACCAGGATTTTCAGAAGGAGGAGGACTGTTTCTGACACCAATAGGTTGTCCTGGGCTCTGACAAACCTCTCAAACCATCTGACACCAATGCAAGATTATAGAAAGACGGAGAAAACACAGCAGAGATCAAAATTTACAAAGTGGCACATTTTTCTCTCCAAAAATTACTCCCACTAGGAAAAACTTCCTTTTTCCGCTCCCTCTCTTACTGTATTAAAACACACACACAATTACATGCCATAAATTAAATCCAAGCATACCTCAGGTAGTTTGAACATGGGCGGTCTGCACTGTGTATTTTGACACACCTACTCTGAATGGCGGGATCAGTGATTTTCAAATAATCTCCCCAGAGCATTCAAATAAACTGACTTTGTTAAATACCAGACAGGTTTTTTTCATTACATCAAACACTATTTGAACAGCTTATGCCTTAGAATTTACTGTCTTAAATCCCAAATAATATTTATAGCATCAGTATGTTAAGGCATCCTCACAACAACATTGTCTTGATTCATCTTGGGGACATATCAATCTCTTCCTAACAATCCTACCAAAGCCTTTCCCTAATCATTATGCATTTATCTTCAAAATATTACTAGTGAAGAAGCAGCCTTGTCTAATTTCAAAAATAACGAGAGAGGGCAAAAGGTGACCACAGACACATTTATAAAGAAAAATGCAGTACTTCAGTTTAAAGTCTGAGATTTAGTGATTTTCTGTGATCCAAGTACAACCTTATAAAGAACAATAAAATAGCCCTTTATGGCAAAAGAAAAAAGTATCAATATTGCATTGTCCCAGAGTAGCTACTGGTGACTTGTTATATCATATTTGTGAAAGACTACTGGAAGTAAAAGAAGCAAACACCACTACATGTGATGTATACCAGCCAACAAAAGCATATAGTGGAACAGTCCTTGGCAAAAACTCCATATGCTTTTTTTTTGGCCTTCTTTTTCAAGAAAGGAGTTTGTTTACACAAGTTTCCCATATGCAAAAGTTATTTAGAATATAAGGTAATGAGTAGTCATTTTACTTTTGAGTAGTCATTTTACTTTTGAAGGAAAAGTTTGACAATTTGGAAATATTTAAACCGTATAATCCATATAGGTATATCCATACGTTAGCAAGAACATGTATATTCTAAGGAAAGATTATGACTGTCCAATGATGGAGTATGAAAGGATGTCAGAAACTCATTTAGTTTCAAGGTGTGGGGCTTTTTTTACATAGGGTCAAAGTCTGAGTTACACTACTTAATTTTTTTTTAATGTCAGTTAAATTATCTTTAAAGAAAATGAAATCAAAAAGGGAACTGTGACTTATACCACTTACACGGACTTTGCTTCCTGTAAACCTGTCTAGCTAGTAAGTGTGTGTATACTCACCTGTCCCTTGAGTTTTACTCTGCTTGTATCTCTGCCCTTGATATGACCAAGTGTCATCAATAATTTTAATAGTCTCACATATGCACCACTGGATTAAGAAAGATTACTTTCACAAATCTTCTTCCAAAGATAATTAATTATGCACAAAACAGGCCAATCTGCCTTTGATTTTCATTAATGAAATAGATTATCAGAAAACATGATGCTGACACTTCCATAAAGGAAAGTATGTAAAAAATTATATTTTCACATATTGAAAGTTCTGAAAAAGAAACATGTTACATGTTACAATCATGACTATCAGATCATCACATTCCAATTAGAGATCAAAGGGAGATGCTGCATTTTTAGTGTTTCATAACCAGATATAAGGGATCTTTATAGTCGCTTGCTTTTTTGTTTAAAAAAGCAAGCCACAAATTATGCAGCCTTCTGCATTACACAACTGTGCTTAGAAAAACAGAAGTAATACAAAGAGCAAAAATCCACTCTTAAATCTTACACAGAAGAGTTTACCTACAGTACTCTGCTTTCTCTGAACTCCCTGAAGTATCCCCTGAACTCCTATTAATGTCAGTGGGAGTTCAACATGTTGTTGTGGCATATGCAGCACCATTAGATATCAATTCAGTCCATGTACAGAGAATGGAATATAAATTTTCAGATGTGCTGAAACGCTTTGAGAGTTTAATTTCTTTCATCGCTCAGGAATATATGCATGTGTTAGAGGTCAGAGAGAAAAATTTTACTAAAGTCTCTAAAAGCCAATTTTCCAGTGTATATTTACATATGAATATGTTATTTTGTTTGGACATTATTTGTCCATAAATGTGCAGTTCATACATTATACCAGGTTTGACTCTAATGCAGAAACTAAACAAATATATTTTGAGAAGCATGATCTTAAAAACTATGTGAATCTGTTTTTTTCAAAATGCGGAAGATAGCTCATCTTTATTCTTGCTAGACTTTGGCAGTAAAATATGCATAGGTTCCTCCTTCTCAGCATAATTAATATCCAAAGAGGCAGAACAGGACTTTTTTTTCTGTCAAGTTCGTGAAGGTATGTGGTGTTTGTCTCAAGGAAAATGAGAGGAGTCTTACATTGCTGAAGTTTCTCACTTTGGTTGTGTGAAGTACAAAGAGAGAAAACTATCTGATCTGAATGCTAGGAAACAAGGAATGAAAAGGAAAAAGAGCAGTAGGGCTGGAAAGAGTAAAAATTAAATGTACCTAAGCTCTGAGAGGAAGATACAAAAAACAGTTGTATTTGAGAAATTCAGTAAAAGAAGAGACCCAAGCTGGGAGAAAGTAGACAGTGAAATATGCTGCATGTGTGGAAAACTTGCAATCCCTACGTCACCCTAAAGGATTTTGTTTTGACTTTCAAAATAAAATACTTCTCTGCTTTCAGTCAGAACAACTGACTAACTGTGCTATCTTCTCTTTAACTGACCAGTCCAGAAACAGCCTGCAGCAGTTGTAATTGCTGTTGTTAGTTACTGGTGGCCTAGAGGTTTGTTTGTGCTGGGAATTCAATTTGAGGGGAATGTACTTCAGTGTGAAGCACCACATTTGATAACTTAGAGGAGGAATCCACATAACAGAAATACTGAATTAGAAGATGTTAGAGTTATATTAAAACACACTATGAGGAAGCTGTAGTTACAAAGTGAAACATTCAAAAGTTAGGATCTCATCAAATAGAAGTGGCCCAGGGACATTGGCCTAATATTTAAGCTCCTATTCTCTTTGTACTGGGAAACAGTTGTTTGGTGTCTTTTTTTTTTTTCTGTGATTTCCCTTACCTGGTTCTCTTGTTGGTGCCACAAACAAATTTGCAGAACTTGCTCCAGTCCTTGGCGCTGATGTTTAAGAAATTTGTTCAGTTGCCGTCTCCTGTCTTGTAGCATTTCAAGGAGATTGTCAATTTTCAAGCAGCTGCTGTGGGCTCCCTGAATCATCTCCGGATTTGCATTTGGCCCCTCACATTTGAATTCTTCTATGAATTCAGTTAGCTCTTGGCTTTTGTTTAAAAGTGCAAATGACTTCTCCAGAAGTTCTGTAAGAACAGAATTTCATAGGAAAAAAATCCAGTGTGCTTTGTGACTCTAGTGGCATATTTCAAATTAAACTCAAGTATTTTTTCAACTACCTACTTGCATACATGACTGCAACATATTTTCATGCATTACAAGAACATAAATGCTTACAACAAAGATGTATATACACTAAGATATTTCAATTAGGACAGTTCTCATATAAACCTAGAAAGGTATAATGGTATATACATACACATATCTATAATGGTACATATAACATATATACCCACATACAACGGTGTACTGTGTGTCATCAAGACAAAACCCAGAAGTTTGCTTTTTCAAAACTGAGTTCTTTATGATTGTTTCCCAATACTCAGGTAAACTGCAACGGAATTTCCTGCCCTGCTTTTTATGTGGCTAAGTAGCCTCTGTAGTTTTGTACTAGTGATGCAAGCTAAGTTTAGATCTATATGCCTCTCACAACGGTTGAAAGAAAATGTTCTTGTGCCTGAAGGCTGTTATAAATAAGTCAGGAGTATCAGGAACTCTTACTTTCTTTCTATAACCTCTACCTAAACACATTCGGGGTTAAAATTCAGTGGACTAGTACTCTTTAATGACCTACTAATCATGTGTCCTTAAAGTCACATAGTACAAAATCTGAATGGACAATGATCAGTATTCCTAAGACTTTCAAATGAAAAAGAGAAATTGTTATGTATGGAATAAGGAAGAAGGGGAGTCAAGCCAAAATAGATGCTGAGGTAGACATGAAGAAAATTATAAAGAAAGGAATGTTAGCAAGGAGCTGCAAGTAAAGCAACTAGAAGCAATCCCCTGAAACATTCCTCTTCCCACTGAGTGCATGTACTCATAATTAAAGGTAAAACACCCTAAATCTCAACCTTCCATGTAGAACACCCAGGGAAAAAGAAAAGGATGCTCCCACTTCTCCAATCACCAAGGGCTAACAGGAGAGATTAGTTTTCATGAGCTCACTGCAGCAAGCTTGTCCATTTTAGTTCTCGCCTTCCAGAAAGGTGGTATTTATCAGAAATGTTCCACTTCAGTCCATCCAACATTGAATACACATAGAAATGGACAAATCAGGATATTTCATATTTTTCACCTTTTTGAAATGCATTTGTTTCAAAACTTCTTTTTTCTTTTCCCCCACAATGATAAGCATTTGTGATAAACTACTCATCACATTCTGGTTGAGCCAATATTTTGTAAGGGTTGTATTTTCAGCCACCTTACTTTGGAGCAGGTAGATAGTATATTTCTCACAGAAAGCAATACAAACACTGTTTTTTATCAAATAGCTCAATATCAGTTTGCAAAATTTGATGTGATTAAGATAGAATAAGAAGTCAGTCAGCTGCAACCACTTTCCTCCATCTGAGGAAAGGCTTATCACTGTCAAAGCAGTCTTTCTCTGGCAAACCATTTCATCTGATTCTTACAGTTACAGACCCTCTTTCAGCAGTAAATTACTGCCAGATACTTCAGGCTAAAATTGCTATACAGTGAGCACTTTGCTCCCATGAAGATCAAATTGTAAGACCCAAACCCCATATGAGAGTTATCTGAGTTCAATTCTGTATTCAGTGTCCTGAGAAGAATACCTGGTGTTCAAGGTAGCTAAAAATATTTAAGTTAGTGTTCCACTAGTGGATAATAAAGTATAATTGATATTATTCTGCCAATTGTTACTAATGATACAGCAAAGTGGGAATTAAAATTTCAAAGATGGAGTCTTAAGACTTATAAAAAATGCAGAACAATATGGAATTGCAAAAGTGTGTGAAGTAGCCACACAACGAGATTGGTTCTAAAAACTCCCCCCCCCTTTTTTGAATTCAGAGTACCACAAAATGATAGAAGGTGCTTCACATGAAAGCTTGAATAAAAAAAGGAATTTGCATGGAAGAATTTTTATGGGCAACCATATGTGCAAAAAAATTGTGGAAGGGGAGAAAGCACCTTTTCGTCCAAGGGCATTACAGCTGTAGCTGCAACACCTCTTGGAACAGATCAGGCAATTCAATGGAGAATGAAACAACCCCACTCTTCAAAGGCAGAAGCAAAATTGTAGGCAAAAAGATTCTTAAACTGACTAATTGCCACCTCTGTCTCATAGTTCCCATCCTCACTTCTTAACTCTTCTGCATCAACCCCTCTCCTTGGGCACAGAAAAGCAGTGGGCAAATTATTCCCCTGGCCAGTCCAAGAAACTGTAGGACTTTGCAGGGGCTTTTTACTAGAACTGATTGGAAATTTTCCAGTGGAAATTTTTCCATTGAAAAATGCTAATTCATTGATAACTATGATGCCTTCAAACTTTCTTATGGAATAGCAGGATGGTTTTAGAACCTGTTGCAAACCAGCACTATAAAAAAGTTGGGTTTCTTAGCAGCTCACTTGATCTGGACTGCCTTGAAATTAGAATATAAGCTTACCACTGGCTACTCTGCAGCAACAAAGATGAAACCATGAGAGATCTAGCTGAAAACAAGACTTTGATATCTTTCAGGAAGGCTGCTAAAGAGCTATTTCATCATTATGTTTTTCCAACTAGAAATTTTCATATTTGTTCTAAGATTAATTTATGGGGGTTTTTAAATATGCACAGAAACAGTAAAATCACCCTTAAAGGAGTCAGGGCACAATCACATGCTATCAGAAGTGGAATACGGTTTGTACCTTTTGTATGATGCTCTTGTTGCAGAAGAAGTTCTCTCAAAGAGTCAATATTGTCAAACTCTTGAGCATTTTTCAAGAAATCCTCAACTTGGTCAATCTTAACAGCAAACTGCATTAAGAAAACAAAGGTTAGGAAGAAGCACAATATAGTTTTCTTTTGCATAATTCCATCATAAATCTCTGTATTACTAGGAAAGTTCATGAGAATTTTTAAATTCTTGGAAAACAGCATTTTTAGTGACCTCTAGATACAGATGCTTTGTGGTCTCTATGCACCTTCTGGTTTGGCTTTTTTTGAGGTAGTGATTGATAAAAGGAACCCAAATTTTAGTTGACATAATCTGTAATTACACTTTGTCACTTTGAGAATCATCTTTCCTACAAAGACTTCTGCCAACTCTGTACTAATTTCTTTGTATAATACACATTACCAGGACACAAAAGAATTACAGAATGGCTTGGGTTGGACAGGGCCTTAAAGATCATCTTGGAGTTCTTAGGACAATTATTAGTACCAAAGTTCTGTCTGTAATTTAGAGATGGCACTAGGTTAATGTAGAAAAAAATTATCTGGGAGATTATTAACTATCAGAGAGAATTATTAATTCTCTTCAAAGCTACAGGATGTGAGGACAATTCAATCTGAGGCTACACAGAGTAAGCACACACCTGCATGGCATGGAATCCCTCCCTGCTTTCGCTACCTGTGTATATCAGTGAATCAGGATAAGAGATACTGAGAAATGGGTAAACAGGGGTCACACAGTTTTTCTTTTGTGCCCACCTGTACATTAAAGTCTCAGGTAAAGGACTGGCAAGTTAGACTAATGTTTACTTTACATAATTACAGTAAGTGTAGAGAAATCTTGGTGTAAAACCTTCAGTGGCCAATCTTCAGTGAGCATTAGTGAAGGCACAGGAGAACTTAGTTCTTTCAACACCAAACAACTTTAATCATAAGGAATGAAAGATATTCTGTAGAATGCCTATAGCCACTGAATTACATATTTTTTTGGTTTGATCCAGTTTTACTTTTCACTGGCATTTTTTTTAAAGTATATATTTTGGAGAGATCATGACTAAGATATTTCTTAAACTCTACATGTTTTTTTTGTTCAACTTCATCTTCTACTATCTGGAAGGTGGAAAAACAAGAATGTATCTGGAAATTTTTATTTTCTTAATTGCTTCAACCTTTAGGAATACAATGAACAACACATAACAGAGTAAAATTACAGAGGGCAGAGGCTTCAAATAAAAAGTCATTTGATTTAAATACAAACCTCTAGAGCATTTTCAAAGAACACTGTAGTAAGTTCCAGAAGTGCCTGTCTCTTCTCTAACATAATGATGAGGGCATCCCATGCATCCCCAAGAGTCTCTGCCATAGCATCATAAACCTGACTCTTTTCTTCGCTCTCTTCTGCAACCTTGTCTGCTTCATGCAGCAGGTCCCATACCTGGTCTTCCAAAGCCTGAGAAGAAAAAAACAAACAAAAAAGCAAAACATAAGAAATCTGTAAACAAAATCAAAAGCACTGTGCTGATACTGGTGTCAGGATATTTTTCCTAGTGGTAGGAGTGTCAATTATTCCTGCATTTTTCACAGCAAGCTTCTGAATTTCATCAGCGATTAAGAGCCAGTATTTTTATAAAATTCACTTAAAAACAAGAGTTAAGAGAATTTAGGATTTTATTCTAATATTTAGATTCAAAGGAGTTTACATCTGTGTAAAAACAGATCTATCTTCCTGGAAGTGGTAGCAATGCAGATATTGTGAATCTTCTTTCATATGGCATTTCCATATTACATTACTGGACACTGCAAGCTTTAGAAGCTTGAAAGGTAATTTACTCAGAAATCTCTGATGAGTACAATGCAGTCCAGTCAAGAGTGGCTTGAACATATGCACGTTCTCCAAAAAAGCCACCTAACGTGCAGTGTTTTGATTTCAGCTTGCTGCATTGCTCAAGCTGGCAACCAAATAATAATGCCCTATTGTCAAGAAAACAATTCTTCTGTTTCATCCCCTTTACTAATCCCACCATGAGAAAGATAATTGATTTCCAGGTTATGTCAAAAATCTTTAGTGTGTCAGAAAAATTGATTAGCATTTCTTCTGTATTCTTACCCACCCTCATGAAAACCCTTACTAGTTTTCTCCAAGAGCAGTACTATGAGAACTCTATCAGGAAGCTGTGGAAATTTTATTCTTTTTTTTGAAAAAAATAGAATTAAATAATTTTAACTGTAATTTATAGACAGCTATGAAAACAAACAGTGGTAAAACTAAATAGGCATGAGAGCAGCTCAAACAAACCCATCTTTTTCTACAAAATATAGAAAAGTCACTATTAGCAACATAAATGCATGCTTATTGTTTGGTGACAAACTAATCAAAAAGTATCCGATCAAAAGCCAGTGTTCCAGAGGAACAGACACTCCATTTTATTTTCTGAATACCAGGAATTGGAACTGCTATTTCCTAAATCTTCTTTAAAACCTGTTCTTTTTATTCTGTTGAACTCCCACCCTGATTGCCTCATAAGAAGAAAAGCTCAAATCCCTAAAATGCTACCGGTTCTGTATTTAAATAGAAATCTAATTAATATCTACTTAAAACAGTGCTTTGACTTGAAATGAAGTCATTTGCATAGAGTAGATACTGCCACTCTGATGTAACTATTGACAGCAAGTTTTACATCTTCATTATACCACACTGAGACAAGAATCAGGTCAGGAAAAACAATTATCCTTGGTAATCTAACCCAAAGTATTCCAGAAAACTTTTATTCAAGAACACTTTTCTAGCTGACAAGGCAACTAAATCTTGCTGCAGATGTTTTTCTAGTCTTACATCTAGCAGTCAGAATCATTGTTATCAGAAATAAAAAAGGACCAGCATTGCCTTATGATAATTTTTAAACCACAGAGATTATATGGCTGTACAACCAGCAAAATTTAAAACCCAGCTTCATGAAACAATGATAATGGTAAGTAAATGAGCCAAGCTCTTGAAAATTCTAAATGAAAATGCTATCTTCGACACAGTTCTTTCAACTCCTTCTTAGTATTTACTGAATTGGTTTACATCATCATCTCTCAATAGTATTTATATCCACAAAGCTAAAAAAAAATTACAAGAAACTACTTCTTTGAGAAACAGTTCTAATATTTGATGGTCTTCAGAGTGACATTAAGGTTTTATTGCCATTGAGTTTAAAACTATGCTTCCACAACTGTCAAAGTCACTAGTTACTGTGAACTTTTCAAATAATTATCCTCAACTATTTCAGTTTCTATATAATACATATGGGAATAGTTTACTTTTAGAAGAAGTAGACTGATATTACTGGTTTTCTACTTTTCATCTTTGAAATATAAACATTCTATCAACACAGAATCATGGAACAATTTATCTTGGATGGGACTCTGCAGGTCATCTGTCTAACCCCTTGGTCAAGTAACTCAAGGACTTATCCCAGGAAGTCTTGCCTAACAATGGAAATTCTGGAACTTTACTGTACAACCTGTTCCAGAATGTAACCATCTTCATGGTCAAATTTTTTTCCTTATATTTAATTGGAATTTCCTTTTCTCCTACTTATGTCTCTTGTCCTAGAAGCAAACAAAAAACAGTAAGAGGAAAAAAGTGTATTTCCATCAAAAAAATTACTTAGGGAAAGCAAAATATTTCACAGAAGCCTGAATTTTGATGAGGCTTTTTTATTAATTGAATTAACTTACTAGAGCTCTCCAGCAAAGCCTTATCTTTATTTCAAATATTTTTGGAATCTAATGTTCCAGTTTTCTCAAATAATACATTTGAAAACATGTTTATTGTTTCAATGGATAGAAACAAATTTGGAAGGATATTCTTTCTTGGAAAAGTCTGGGTTTGTGTTTGTTTTATTATTTTCAGTTTGCATAGGGGAAAGAAAAGAAATACATCCAGCTCATCTAACTCCGAGTATGTGGTGCTGTTATTTCTCAAATTAACAACTGTGATATGAATATGTCCAGAGTACTTTTCACTTCATATGCTGTTCGTTTCTTTTTATGAACTTCCATTCCCAGTGAACACAAAAAATAGAAGGGTATAGTTCTCTCTGGACTCTGAGGAGCCGACAGAAAGCTTGACAATATAAGGAATGCCTAACAGGTAGCCAAAAAGGAGTTTGCACAAACATCCAATCTCTGTTGGTCTCAGTAAAAACAGGTCAGGAGAACATTGTTTTAAAAAACTACAGGCCAACTTCAATTTCTATGAAATATATATGATACACATAATTCAAAAAAAAAAAAAAAAAAAAGCATGTTCTGGTTAGGATTTACTGAGAGGACACTCCCAGGGATATACCCGCAGGCCTGTGGCAGCCACACAGCTCTCCTACCACTCATTTTCAGGGTACATTTGGGTCTGATATTGTAGCAAAGACAGAGTGCAAATAACTGGAAGTCTAAAAGAATATTTTCATGTAAGCAGGGGTACAATAATTTTAATTAATATTATAATTAGTATTAATAAAAAATTGGTATTAATTTGTTCACAGTCCACTCTTTGGATACTTTACCTTCCATTACAAGGGCCAAGGAATGACAGGGGGAAAATATCTTTTGCTTTTCCTGATTGTTGTACATTGGATCCATAACTCGGAATTTTCAAGGTGTAAACTACCCACCTCACTGAGATGTTGCTAATCTTTGTTTATAGAAATTATACAATACAGTTATTAACTTGAGACTCAGAAAATAGTCATAAAGCTACTCTGAGACAAATACTATTTTGGTAGGAATTTTGTTTATGCAAATACTGAAACTGATGACTGAGCTGAACTAACATTGAAAGAAATATTTATTCAAGTTTACCTACTCCTTCCTTTTTTGTTCAAATCTCTGAGAAAACTCAGCTCTGCTTTGTGATACAAATGCAGCTGAACATTGCTGCTAATTGTACCTTTGGGCAGCTCAACAATTAATTGTCAATAATTCAGAAGATATTAACAAATAATTTCTTCCATAACAAATTTACTGAAAAATAAGCATTATGAAAGTATTCTTACTTGAAATAATTGAAAAGCTTATTTAAAAGATATCAGTGCAAAAAATGAGCATATTATATTAATGCTTTTTGAAGAATGCAATTTTCTAGTTTGTTTTTCTTCACTATTAGCATATAAATTATTATTTTGCAATTTATACTCTGTGAATTGAAGTAAATAAAGCAATTAGAGCAATCTTTGGGTTCATGAGCCAAATTAATAACATTGATGGTTTTAAACTTGTTTATGGGCTAGATTTACTTCCATTTTGTAGTGGTTCTGCCACAGCCTCTTTTATGATAAAAACCAGAACTTTGGAAGCAAACCAAGAATGCCTTAGTGGGGATTTTGACACTGTCACGGCCATGCACACACACCCCCAGTCTGGTTTTTTCCTTCAGATGACCCAGTGAGTGTCAGTATCGGGAAATTCAAACACTAAGACATCATCTCCAGGTAGGGCTTCTCTTGGAAACAACTGAATTATGGAGAACAGAAGAAAGGCAGAGAAATGTATATGCACAATGCAGTCTACACTGTTTTACCTCCTGGGAGTTTTGTCTCAAGTTTTCTGGTCTTGGTTGTTCTTGCCTTTTTTTTTTTTTTTCTTTTAAATTGTGAAAAATGAGACATCAAAATGTACATACACATACATTTACATTTCCAGAACATATAGACCTGCTGAAAGTCATCTACAGAAAGATAAGGCAGATGTTGGGAAAGAGACTTGCATGAAATCACAGAATTTCATGTTTTCAACAAAATTGTTACTGCTGATATGGTCTAATTTAGCAAAACAGAAACAGAATATATTAGTTTAGAATCACAACACATTAGCTGAGATTACTGGGGGGAATTTTAACTAGATGTTGTAAACACTGTGTACATGTTCTCTGTTTAGTCTCAGTTTTACTCTTTCCTGTTCAATATTTATTCTTTCAACTCTATTAACAATAACACATCTGTTTCCTAATCCATAAACATTTGACATGGGCCCCTTTTCTGAAGTTGCATTTTACTTCTTATTAAAGTAGTAGGGTGTCCCTAATTTCCAAATTTAATGGAACGATTGTAAATCAGTAACAAACGTGATAGAATACATTCTATCAAAGGACACTATTTTGAATATTTTGAATGTTTTTCTGTAATGCCCTGAAGTACTCACACTTTTTTTATTGCAATAATTCTAGCCATTAAAAGCAGTGTAAAAATTGTCTAGAAATTACTGTTTTCTTTTTCAACACGTCTATTCCAATTACCCTTTAAAGCACCATCTGCCTTTCTCAGTGTCAAACTGGTAGTTTAGGCTTTTTTAAGGCCTATTAACATTGCTTAGTCAAAGACTATTCCCTGAAATACTGAGCTAGATTACATTCCTTTTCCTCTACCATTAGAAGTACTCTAAACTGATCACTGGTCACTGTGCCAAATTCTGTCCTTACTTACACCTGGGAGTCTTCAACATGTTAAGTTGACGAAAGAATTTGGCCTGAATATTTTGATTATAACTTACAATACATATAGTGGGACGAGAATAATGAAACTGAAAAGCAAAAGGGTGATCCAAACCTAGAATGAGTTTACAGAATAACATGGGATAGTGCCGGAAGGGTCAACTATTCCATAAATTATCTTCTAAAAGTTGCTAAGTTCATCACTACTGATTCCAAAGATTATTTAGTATTAATCCTCTAACTCTTCCCTTAAGCAGGACTAGTTTCAAAATCAAATCACTACTCATTCAAGAATTTTTGCCTGTCCTGCACAAAAGTTTAATATTAAATTGCATTAGATTAATCAATGAAATTAAGTATATGCATATCAAGTATAGCTATCTGCCAGGATTTCCTTTGTTTTTTTATTTATTACAATAATAAAAGAGAAATAGAAAAACAATTCAAAGCTGCCTCGCTGCTGTATTTCAAATTCAAGTGACTGAAAAATTCTGCAATATAAAAAATGCTATCCATTTTCTTGGACCCAAGTGGAAAAATTCTTCATTATACTTTTTTCTACTAGTAAAAATTTCTAGCTCTAAAACTAAAAAATATAAGGATTCTATCCTCTCTTCTTTTTAAGGAAGCACAGTAGGAAAAAAAAAAAACACCACAGCATACAAGCAAAACCAACTTTTTTTCCTCTCACTATTATGTAACTTACTAATCTTCTCCCTTTGAAAAGTTACAGACTGACATAAAGCAAATGAAGTTAATATGTCAATTAGCATTATTCAGAACCAAAATTTTTTATGGATTCGTAAGCATTTTATGGAAGTTTTCATTTTTATTAACTAGCTGTTCTAACGAGACATTTGTGATTTGCCATATGGTGTTTTAGTATTACCACTATTGCATGTAAGTGTTTTAAGAAGTTATGTAAATCAATAGTAGAGTATCACAATGTTGGCACATAACTGGAACAAGTTTTACTCGAGCATAAGGCCAGAGCTTCATTTCTGCCTTTTTTTTTTTTTTAACTATTTATAATGCATTCCGAATACCAAGATCTAATCAAGAGCAAAAATAAATGTTATAAGATGCAACAGACTATCAGGGTCGGTTGGACCAAGATTGTCAATGAAAACAGTAACTTGTAGCCAATATGGAAGAACTACAAACTGAATGGGGTAAGACTGCAGCTGGGTGAATGTTCATGTATTTGCATAATTAATTATTGTTGGTCACTAAGGGTGAAAGATCAAGTGGAATTGCATATACTGGACACCACCAAAACAAAGATCAACTAACAACTGTAATTTTGTCTGATCTTTTCAACCCCTCTCCTGCCCACATTTTTAAATTCATTTTTATCCTCTCATAAGTAACTAAATCTTTATGGCCATAGATGTTGAAGTCTGAAACACTACTCCCTCTTTATCCATCTTCACACAGCTAATGCTTAATTCATTATCAAATGTTAGGTGGAAAAAATTGCTCTAAACAATACTTCAAAGGCTGAGAATCAGTCTTGGAAAAACTTTTGATGAGTGGATTTAGTGACTTAAGACTACATAATTACTGACAAATGTTAACAGCTTACTATAAAGCACAAAGGGTCATGGTTGAAAAATGCACAGTCAGGAAGTATTATAGTGACACTGCAGTCCTGTATTATCACAGCTCTTGTAATATAGAGGAAGAAACAGTAATTTTGAACTTAGTACTTTTATAGAACATTCATTAATTGCTGATGGATTTTGCAAGGACTGAAGGTATAAAACATGAAATAATGAGTATTTGTTCCCAACATATTGGATGAAAAGTATTCTTTAATAATAGATTTTCTGACCTGATTTGACTAGACGGTAAATGGTTTAAAATTTATTTTTGAGCATTAGGAGAAAAAAAAAATCAGCTTCTTCCTGTCATCAGTGTGCAAGAACTCAGCTAATTCTGAATTGTTCAAACAGGTACGGCAACACGTTCCAAGAATGCGCAAATGTAGCACTAAAGGTGAGGCACTTGCATAAACAAAGAGAGCAGAACCACCTCTTAGGATGTTGGTGGGGGTTTTGTTGTTTGGGGGTATTTGGTGGGGGGTTTTTTTTGGTAATTCTATTCTTCATGCTATTCAAAATTCACACCATGCACCATTATTAGCTACATTCTCTATGTACTGTATTAAATTACCTTACACGCATTGGAGATTTTTAATGACTGGGGAAGGACATAGTCAGTGGTATTAAGTTAAATACTTGATCCTATTCAAAATCAGGTTTCCTCTTTCAGATCTAAAGTTTATATTATCTCAAAAAAAAAAAAATAAAAAAAGGATAAGATGCTGTGCAGAGCTTCAAAGATTTTAGAGGAATTTGTTTGTCTACAGACATAAAGTGAATCTGCCCTATCAAAACATGAAAACAAAATCTCTTTTTAGGTGCCTTCAGACTCTTCTCAGTATCAAATACACACATTTAAAATAATTCAGCTTTTTCATGCAAGTATGTAACTCAGTGTCCAAATGCCACTGTTCTTATAATCTGCTCTCAAGAATGCCAATATCTGATTTTAGGACAGTTACTTACCTGAAATCTTCCTAGCTCAAGACAAGCTATTTTAATGTTACAGTATCATTTCTACTGCAACTTATATCAATCAACATTTAATAAAAATGTTCCTCGAATATCTACTTCAGAGTTACAAGGAACTTGAGTTGTTATAAGTAATCAAACTTTTCACAACACTGGTTAATTAAAAAAAATAAGTTTATATTCCATTATATTTAGCAGTTACTGAGGGTTATAGGATTTTTTTCACTTAACACCAATATATAAAGCAGAAAAAACCCTGTGTCTTTACTGCTGCTGTCAGAAGCATATTTTTCCACTGCAGAGACCTAACTTCCAAAGAATCACAGAAGACCCTGAATTGGAGGGTATCCAGCAGGATCACTGAAGGTCTGCTACACTGACAAAGGCTGAACATACCTTTTTCTGTGAGGAATTTAACCTAAACACAACATTGCAACAGGAGGCACAGGCACTTACATCACCTGTTGTACCTGAACTATAATGACTAGACAATTTTTTTGTGGTCTCATCACATCTTACCTTCAGCTTAGATAGGAGGAATTCATGATCTTGAAGTAGTTTTTTAGTCTCATCCTGATTGCTGCCAATTTCTAATATATTTGGTGTTGATTCAGCCAGCTGAAGCTTCACCCATTTTCCACACTGTAATAAGTAAAAAAATACGGCCTTCAGAAAACAAGCTCTCAGGGACCATACACATGACAAAGACACAAAGAACACACTATAAACTTTACTTCATTTAAAATAGGTAACGAAATTCCACACCCGATCAGTGCTATAATTTTAGTTTTGCCCATGTAGAGTAAAATTATCACAATGATCCAAAAACATTTCTCCAACTCATCTCCCCTTTCAGCTGAAGATGACACAGATAGTTAAGGAAACTTGGTGGGTGGGTGGAGTGGGTGAAAGATACAAATATATCACAGCAGATGCAAAAACCATAACCCCAAATCTTATTTCTACCACCACAGGTCTAAAGCACCTCTATACAGAATATATATATCTCAAGAGATTGCAGAAGTAAAAGCAGGGACACTTTAGAAAAGGAACAAAAGGATGGTGATAAGGACCAAACCAGTAATGTCACTGGAAGCTAACACGGTTCTACAGCACAGAGGGGGGAAATAAATTACTCCACCTAAACTTGAGTCTCCTTGCAATGAAATTACTCCCCTGCAGCAGCAAACCACCTCACAGAACGGGTGAAAACTGATAGAAAAAAGCATTTCCACAACTGAGGTAGCCCCATCCCGAATAATCACCTACAGCCCAACTTATTATCACCTTACTCCGCATTACAGACAAACTGTAGTTGCTGAGGCTAGCGTGTTTTCCAGGTTGCCTGGATAATGAAAAATCAAACTGCCAATAAATTCCAGCTGGGACTCATTACCAGCATCCATCTTTACTCCCATGCCAAATTTTGTGCAAGCTGTAGCCTCACAAACAGGCCTTTAGGTGCTTATAAGCATAACTACATGTACATAAGGGTTTCTACTGAAACACACAGGAATATGAATTCACAGCTTTCAAAAATAACTACTTATTATCAGGTTTGGACTTTTTTTTCCCCAGCAAATATTTCATTTGTGGAGTTTGTAGACCATTTATGCAAAATTATTGCTGAGTACAGTTTAAAACAAGGAGTCTCAACTGCAATCATCATGCTTATTAACACAAAATGGCACTCTTCATTTATCTCTTACCTTTTAAACAGAGTAGGAGGAACTCCTTGCCTTTAAGAGCCTAAATATTTTGGCCAAATTGTTTATTCTATTTGAAAAAAAATCAAAAGCCACAAAGAGTAACTGTGAACAGAAACAAGTGTTAACTTCCAAGAAAGTAGCTATTAGACTGATAAGGTGGCCTTGCCTTATCATTTTATGCTAACTATTCATTTTCACAGAACATTTAAAAGAAGCAGTAATCAACAAGTAGCAGAAAGACAAGAACAGACATACCAGCAGTTGCTGCCTTACCTTAAGTACAGCTATGACAATACTGGCATCCCCAGCCTGAACAGCAACTGAGCTGACCGTTGTTGTAGAAGGTTTCTGCTCCGAATTGGTTTCATCTGACATTGTGTATCACAATGGGACTTCATACATTAAAGCAGACTTGAAATGCTCTTGCAAGGTCCACTGTTCGTTTCAGAAAGCCCCAGAGTCACTTGGATTCATTCAGTGAAACAGCTCAGCTAACACTGATTAGTCTGCCAAAAGGAAAGAACGGGAGGTTAAAAATAGACAACTCCATTGAGTTTATCATTCCTGAGAGAGATTTGACACACCCCTAGTTTGGTAGCATTAAGCTGTCTGTTCTTTTTTGTCACCCTCTGAAGTGCAAAGGGCTTCTTCCTTGGACACCACCTGACACCGGCTAAACAAAGGAAAAAATGTTCTCAAATTAAAACAGCTAGAAAAAAAATCACTATTGATTCTATACAGACAAACGCAAAGTTACGAGGTTTCAAAACATAAAATTATACAATCTACATTTTTATATTCTAAATGTAACATTATCTTGCTTGCTAGTTACTGAAATATATGCTCAATATAATTCTTCTGCCAAATCAAAATATTTAAACAGGATGAGCATGAGTATATAAATCAAATGCTAAATCAAATCAGGGGATTTTTAATCCAAAAGTATTTAAATTTTGAGAGCGGCGGTAAAGTTGCAAAAGGGGGACAGCCCCAAGATTAGACGCCTGGTTTAAGGTGCAAGCCACCTAGAGGGTTCCACATTATATTCTTTGGAGGCAGAAAAGGCATCCTTCCTAAAGATTTGGGAGTCTGAGAAAGAATAATTTTTTTTTCCCATAACTCCTTACAGGGCTCTGTAAAGTGGACTTTTAATACAAAACTCATTCTTCATGTAGTACTCACAAATGATGAAATGCAGCTGTCACAGTGGAGCAGCGCCAGGCATTGCTGGGGCGGTGCACTGCGCAGAACATTCACAGGTAAAGCTGCCTTTAGTCCTGCTCTGCCTTGGACTCTGGGAAAAAAAACCCAGGTGATATTTTCATTCCACGTGTATGTTTTACCTCTCGGCATAAACAAAGCAAAACTAAACAAACAAACAAAACCCACAACAAACAAACAAAAACCCACCAAAAACAACAATGCAGAAAAGTTTCTAAATCTGAGCGAAGGGGAGGTGTTGGGGAAAGATCGATTCAGCTCTGCTGGGATTGCTCACGCTGTGTAAATACACTGAAGTACATCCAAACCTCCCTGCACTTCCAGGGAGGCCCAGAAACCCTGCCAGTGAAACACTATATGGATTTTCTTGAGACTAATGTGTGTATTGCTGTAATAGGTACAGCAAAATTAAATGTTTGGTATTTAATCCCAGCACAAAAACTCTTAAATCCTAAAGAAAACTTCAAAACTGAAACACAAGAGAGCCCTATTTTGGTTTGAATGGAAAACAGATCCATTGTACAAAACCTGCTAAATATGAGAGCTTTCAAAAAAACATTCCAGAAGACAAGCAACTCTGAATTTTTCACCCTGCAGGCAGAACTGAGGACAAACAAAACTTGGCTGTTGGAAAAACTAATTAGGAAAAACAAGCCAGACCTCTTATTACTCTTACAAAAGGAGTTAGAAACCAATTTTGGTACTATGTCCCTGAGTCTTCATTCTCTCAGAAGCACATTCTAAGTGCACTTGTTCATGGCACAAGTTGGGCCAATCCATCATCTCACTAGGATAGCCAGACACAAGAGCTGCTTTTCACTCAAGTTAAATGAGGTATCATTTTTCACAGTGCTGACATCTGGAAATAAGGGAAAAATGCCACTCTCAAGAAGTTGACTGTAAGCAAATTTGGCAGCAACTGAGCCAAGTGATTCAGAACATCTGATAACAAACGTATGGCTATTGTATTTATTTGGCTTATGCTAAGCACACAAGATAGGAATGTCAAAACATCACAGTAGCAGGTAGAGAAAAGGTATCATGGTATTGAAACAGATCTTCGAGCACAATCCTGGGAGAAAAAGCTGAGAATTTTGGTGCTGCATAATGAGACATTTCAGCTGTGCCTAGGGAAACAAAATTTAACAAGCATGCCTTTCTCAGTCTTGTTAACTATTTGTCATCTTTTCCTCTCTCTGAACCAACCAACCAACAATCTTGGTAGCAGCCAGAAACAGGCAGGCTATCTGTGTCAGGAGGGAGAAATATTTTTCCTTTGCTACTGCTGTGTGAAAGAGGAGAGTAAGAATGACAAGAAGAAATGAGTTCACCAGCTGTCCATAGGAACAAATGAAACTGAAAAAAATAAACTATCTCAGGAAAACAGTGAAAAAGATCCAGTTTCTGGAGTGTAAGTAATGTCAGGTATTAGCTGGGAAAACACTATGTAAATAGGATTTGAGAGGCAAATGTGATAAAATTCACTTCATTGTCAACATGGAATGTGCTTTATTCACCTTATGAGAAAGACATGAGGTGTTTTTCTTATCTGCAGCAAGGGAAGTGTGGTAATCACAGTTATGTAGTGATGCATAGGAAAAGGGTCTGCTTTTCTTGCAGATAAGTTGCTTTCTGTTAAGAGCTTTGGAGCTGCTGGTGCACTATGACAATTACTCTAGGAGAGACAAAATTCACTCCCTGAAGCCTCAAAGACACAAGGTCCTTCACTTTGCTTTGTAAATGTAGCAGATCTCCCTTCCTTGTCACACGCCTGGGAGAACAGGGTGCTCAGCGAAAAAGGCAAGGAGGACAGAGGAAGGAAGCGTCCCTCAAACTGATTGATAGGTTTCATGTGGCTTGGAAAAAGATAATAAACACTGCTTTACTCTGGGAGCCCCACCCCGAACGAGGGACAAAGATGTCAGTCTCTCTAAGTGTGTGCTTACTGCTTTTTACTGATTCCTACCAGCCTACTTCTTGAGTAGGCACCATTTTGAGGTGCATCAGTAGGCACCATCATCAGGAATGAGGGCATGAAAGCAAGCAGTCTTGCAAGTTCCCCCAACTTCATAAAGCAGACATGGAAGTCACATCAAGTGTGAGGGTTAAGCATGAGGTAGGTATTTCTCCTGGAAGAGGCTTCTCTTTACCCTACACTAATTGAATAAGTTTCTAGGCTGACAAGCAGGTTGAAATTCTAACCAGGTATTCCTATAACTCCAAATAAAGAATGATAAAAACCATAGCAGCAGCAGTCAGGGTAGAAATGCGGGAAACAGAGACGCCTTCTCCCAGAAGTTAGAAAGTACATAAATGGCCTGCGGGGAACATTACCTTGCAACACTGCCTCTTTCTCAACACTGAGTTAGAAAGAAGCATTTCTTGCAGATAACTGCCCTAGAGAGAAGGCTGACAGAAAACAGAAGGAAACTACAGCCCTTGCAGACATTCCTTTTTTAGTGAGGGCCAGAGACTCAGGACAAACTGGGCACAAACAACTTCCCACACCCAGAGGCAGGGCAAGGACCAGCACAAGCTTCTCCACAGCCCAGCAGTGCCCTGAGGCTGGGGGACTGGCTGAACTGAGGAAAGTCTGTCCTCCCACAAACCTGGACACCCAAGAGTGAAAGGCACCCAGACAGGACTGGCCCCCCATATGGCAGTGAGGAGTCTCTGCTGCCCAAGTTCCTGAGGCAGGACAGGTGCAGCAAGTGGGGAAGAAGCAGTCCCTGCTCCCAAAAGTGGGGGGTTATTGGCTGCAAGAGGGAGCGAAAGCCCCAGCCAAGGAAAATGAGATTAAATTCAGGTAGGTAACAGCTTCAGCACAGGCAGAAAGCATTTTCCTGTTAGCTAAGAGCACAGGAGCTTTAGAAAAGGTGGCACAAAAGCAGCCTGAGCCCCTGCTGGCTCTGAAAGGGGGTTATGCTGTCCTTGCCACCATGGAAAGAGAAGGCACAAAAGTCACAGTAAAGGGTTAGGAAACAGCTTTGAAAAAGTGCCCAAAGGGTAAAAGACACCCCACTTCCCCCTAGAAAAAATAGTGAAAACAAACCATGTTCCATATTACCTGGAGTATTGTTTGATAGTTCAGATTAATTTCATTCTAAAACACAGGAGTATAGTGACAAATTGCAGCTTGTATCTTCCCATTTTTTTTGTGCATCTCTCTAACAAAAACCCTTCTACTCTTGTTCCTTCATCACCAGTCCTGAAGACACTTTACATCACACTAAGAAACAGCAGGAGGAGAAAAAGCTACCCAAAAAGCATCATCACACAAAGCAGGGTAAATACCAAAAGTTATCCTGGTACATCCCTGTCACACTGAGTATGCCTCTGCGGAAGAAACATAAAACAACACTGCTAACTATAAAACCAGCAGTGTATTAGAGATCAAGAAACTCGCAAACAGCTTAATATTGCAAATTCAGTGCAATGGTAAGAGCAAAATCACTATTTGTTTGCTTCCAAGGACAACAACATATAAAAAAAAAGGCATACAGTAAACAGACCTGGGAAGCAATGACAACTGAAACATTTCAGTCCACTGGTCATTTTTCATGTCCCACTCTTTCATCCCAAAGTATTCTCTTCCCTATATTCCTCTTTTTGGATCTTAGAGGATTTCCACCAAGTATGCATGATATTTGTACCTAGCACTTGTCAAAACAGTACCTAAATCTTTACTATTTATAAAATGATAGAAAAAGATTCACCAAATTTAACTAGGGCTTACCAACCAAATGTTATATTGTTTCAGCCTCAACTCTAATTTTAAGAAAGCTCACATAAGCTTTAAACTTAGAACTCCAGCTTCTAAATGTTATGTAAACAACGACCATTCTTTCTAGCATCTGTTACTTAAAAAATTGTCTTCTCATTCTTCGGCTGATTTACATATAAGATAAAGAGGAATTTACACTTTTCCTTAAAGTGACAGCTATTGAAAAGAATTAGAAAGAAGTGATGACTATTCAGATGTAAATATGCTGGCAAAAGACAAATAGTGAAGAGTTGAACCGTTGAATGGGGTGAAGAAATTAAACAAAATAGAAAACAGTACACAGGTGTGAAGTGCAAAGTGATCACATCTCATTCTCTCTCAGATCCCAAGTGAGCATATCCTCTTCAGTTTATGGATGCTCTCCACTTTGGTTTTCTCAGAATCAGCTGGAGAACAGACTTACCCCATCATCAACCCCGGCAATGCTCAACATTTCTGTCTCACTGGGTGTTGTCCAAAACAAAAGCCTATGGAGCTCTACTCTGATGAATGCAAAA